TCCAAAAGCTAGCTGCTGGGGGTTGAAACCAAACATAAATCTAGCTAATGTGTCAGCTGCAATCATCCCTGGAAATGTCTGGTCTGATGGTGGTGGTGGTACGTAACATGTTGTATGAAAAGCTTCCTCTAAAGATTGGTTAGAAATCCAAACTTCTCCAACAAGTTATCGCCATTAAGTTGTTAATGAGTTCTGGCTACAGAGAGCACACAACTCCTTTGTTGCAATAGGTTCACTGAGTGCAAATTCTTTATCTGGCAAACCACCTTTGAGTATTCCTAGCCATAGAAAACCATATGAAATTCATGGGGTTACCATATGCTAAGAGGTGACTTAAAGTCACATATGTGCAAATACACTAACATTTCACAATGTTGTAAACATTTTCTCTTCTTCACACCCACAGGAGAAAGCTTCCATGCTTTCTTATCATGTATATAATAATGTAACTATGGCTATTGCAAGATGAATGGGAAAAACAGACAGAGTGTAGTAAACATGAACAACCTTTAGCTGCATCATAGATTTACATTGGCAAAGTTAACATGTTCTTTAATGATTCTATCAATATACAGCACAGGTGTTTTCCCAAAGTATTTCATCCACTTAGATTAAAAAAGAATGGCATGATGTCTTCCACTCTCCCAGACCAGTTATCTGCCAGGTGGCTCCCTGACTACACTTTGATTCCAACAATTGAATTAGCCTAAAAGCTGCTTATTTAGCAAAATAGATATTGATTCCTTAGATATTTTCTCAGGGTTCATAATTGTACTCCTTTCAGTAAACCAATTTTTTTGTTCCTGCTGCAGGAATATTTCCAATTATCTTTAGTTAGAAATTTCAAAAACATCATGCATTAAAAGCACACCATCTTGGTCACACTCCACTGTACTGTACTCTGATACTATTTTAGTGGCTATACCCCACTCTCATGTCCTCATCCCACAAGGAGGGGAAAGCTTCTTATTGTTTCTATTTACTTTAAAGAGTCCATCAAAATAATTGTTCAAAATAATTCGATCTCTAATGACAGTTCCTACCGTCCCAAAAAGTGGTGATCAGGCCCCTTCAGCCGAGGTTTTTCAGAGCTACTTTGCAGACAAGATCTCGCTACTTCGCCGGGACCTCCCCGCCACAATTGATACAGTGAGAGAACTTGAGACTCCGTAGCCACTTGCTGGGCCCATCCTCGACCGGTTCATCCCGCTGGACGCAGGGGCTGTCGATAGGCTCATAGCTGCAGCTAGACCGACCACTTGCTTCCTCGATCCGTGTCCCTCTTGGTTGGTGAAATCCTGCTTGGAGGGATTATGCAACCCTCTGTTGAAGATTATAAACAGCTCCCTTGAGCAAGGAGTTTTTCCAGAGGGTTTAAAAGAGGCGGTGGTCTCTCCCCTGCTGAAGAAACCAGACTTAGATTGTTTGGTTCCCTCCAGTTACCACCCAGTTTTGAATCTCTTGTTCCTGGGCAAGGTGATTGAGAGAGCAGCAACAGAGCAGTTGCAGCAATTCCTAGACAACACAGCCGGACTAGATCCCTTCCAGTCCGGCTTCCGTGCGGGGCATGGGATAGAGACTGTGCTGGCCTCCATCACGGATCACCTTCAATGCCAGCTTGACCAGGGCGGGTCAGCGCTGTTTGTGTTATTGGATCTCACAGCAGCATTTGACACAGTCGACCACAATCTTTTGACCCACCGCCTTGCTGTTGCTGGAGTCAGGGGAACAGCTTTAAACTGGCTGTCCTCCTTTCTTCACAACTGTGGACAGCGAGTGGAGAGGGAAGGCCTGGTCTCTGAGAAGTCCCCTCTATCTTGTGGGGTTCCTCAGGGAGCCATTCTCTCCCCTCTGTTGTTTAACATCTATATGCGACCACTTGCTCAGCTGGTTTGAGGTTTTGGGCTGGAGTGTTATCAGTACGCCGATGACACTCAGCTGGTGCTGTAGATGGAAGGCTGACCGGACTCTGTACCCGATTGTTTCCATCAGTGCCTCGAGGCCGTTACTGGATGGCTGCGTGCCAGCAGGTTGAGGGTGAATCCAGCAAAGACGGAGATCTTATGGCTGGGTTGACCAGGCAGTGGGGACATCCAGCTGCCTACCTTGGATGGCGAGGCACTACGCCCGTCATCATTGGTAAAGAGTCTGGGAGTCCTTTTGGACCCTCTGCTGACGATGGAGGCCCAGGTCTCCGCCGTTAGCAGAACCGCCTTCTTTCATATGCGGCAGGCTAGACAGCTGGCCCCCTACCTGTCCAGGGACGACCTAGCTACAGTGATCCAGGCCACGGTCATCTCAAGACTGGACTACTGTAACGCCCTCTACATTGGCCTTCCTCTGTTGGTGATCCGGAAGCTCAAGTTGGTACAAAATGCAGCTGCTCAGCTTCTTGCGGGAATTCCGATGAGATGCCACATAACCCCAATCTTACTGCAGCTGCATTGGTTACCAATTGAGCACCGGATCACTTTCAAAGTGATGGTACTCACCTTTAAGGCCTTGCATGGTCTGGGGCCGATGTACCTGAGGGACCGCCTCACCCCCTACCAACCCCAGAGATCCCTCCGTTCTGAGGACCAAGATCTATTGGAAGTCCCCAGTGTCAAGACCTTGCGTCTAACAGCAACCAGACGCAGAGCCTTCACAGCAGTGGCACCATCACTCTGGAATACTCTGCCACCTGAAGTCCGTGCCTTGCAGGACTTACCAGCTTTCCGCAGGGCATGTAAGACATACCTGTTTCGACAGGCTTTTAATGTTTGATATTGTTGTTTTTAAATTGTTTTAAATTGCTTTTAAATTTTGTTAGATTTTAGCTATTCTTGTAAGCCGCTCTGAGCCCCAGGGGAGTGGCGGCATATAAGTTTAAATAATAAATAAATAAAATAAAAATGATGCAGGACTGTTTCAGGCAGATTTCATCTTTAAAGTGTTTAGAAACCAAGGCTTGGGAAGTCAGGGAGGAAGCAACTTCATTGCTCTCCTTGTCCATATAAATGATTGAAACTAGGTATTTAAGGTGGGATGAGAACTATTGTTAAATTCTCAGTTTCCTTTGGAAACAGAAGTCCATTGAATGCCATACTTAGATGATACTTCCACCCCACTATCCCCTCCTTGGGAGTTGATGTCCTTAGAGAATCCTGGGATTTGCAGTTTAGGGAGGGACACTTTGAATTCTCATTGAACTGGATTACATGGCAGTGTGGACTGAGATAACCCAGTTCAATTAACACAAAAGGCAATGGATTCCCAAAATCTCAACAAACACAAATCCACTACAAGTCATAGTACATAAATCACAAAGGTAAATGTTTTTTTTCAGCTTATATAATATAATATTAAACGTATAACCAATTTATATGATGCAGCATTGAGCAATATACAATGAACAAAAAACTGTCGTTTATACAGTGATTTTACATCAGTAAAAAAAGTAGAGTCTTTTTTGCTGTAAAGCAGACTTCTCTTAAGGGCATAAGATCCCTTACTTTCTCTAAAGATACTCTTGAGTGGAGTTTCCAATCCCTTGTAAGAGGATATCCACGTAGAGGATTTCCAGACCGGTTTTGACTAACGTCTTCCTCAGTTGGAGAAGTGTGAAGAGTACAATGGAGTGGACATCAAGTTCTCCAAAATAATAATTCTTCCTCAGGTGGATAAGGATACAATCTGTCTCTATATTCTGGGTTATATGACTGTGTGGAAGGGCCCTTAGCAAACTAAAAATCCCAGGATTCAATACCAAAAGTATGTGCAAGTGGCATCAAAATAATGTACCTGTGTAGTGTGAAAGAGACCTACTACTGACTTATAACTCCTCAGAGGCAAGCGTGATTGACAATTCTAACTACATGTAGAAATATCTATATACCTTCTCCATGGAAGAGTAATTTTAGAAGAATAAGGCAACTCAGAGATCATGTCTCAAGCTACAGAAAAAATATATTGAAAACTAGGAACACATCAGCCTCTGTGCAGTCTCCTAAACAGGCAGTGTTTGCTATTTCTTTGGCTTCTGGGAATGGTCTTTGGCATCAGGCTCCTGAAGTTCTTTTCCAAATGAAGAAAGTTTCAGTAAACTGTTTTTCCAACCTCTGGTCAATAACCGCTTCATAACTGCATTTTTAAGTTTGTTGAATGTTCTATTTTTTTTTTAAAAAAAGATACATCTTTTGGCACCTTCAACTAAACACATATCTAGGTTCAAGTAGTTTGCATAGACTATGAAATTTGAAGAGTTGTCGAGAATGAAAATGAAGCACATTTTGCATAAAGTGAAAGCAGGCAAAAGTTGGCTTTATTAGGTTCCTACTGGCTCATAAAACAAGTTAAGAAATACTATGTTCATGGACTGATAGACAGATGGATAGAAATCATGTACAAACCCTCACCCCTTAAGTTCTTTACACATTTAAAGAACTCTACCGTTACTAGTAATTCTATCTGGGAGAAAATTAAGATGTGAATCAGCTTGAAACTGAGGTCCTCAGCATCCATGTACAAACACACACACACCTATAATTTTTGTTGCCTTGAATAGAACTCCCATGTACACAACAGTAGCCCTGGGACTATCACTGTGAGTTTGGCCTGAACCTGTAACTGCTGTGCAACCACATGTTTGGAATGAGACATATATGGCAGCAAGTAGCCAATCTTGGACCATTTTAATTCAGGATATTTAACATGAACTCCTTTGCAGCTGTTTCCTTTCTTAAGTTCAAATACTTGTATTCCTCAGAGTAGTACCTTCCAAGAATAAGTGAGAATAAGTACGTGGTTTTGATTATTGACTGGTAATGTTGCTAAATAGAAACACACACACTATACATTTACTTATCATGCTATATGTAACTAAAGCGACTCACAAAGACATACACACACAGAGAGAGAGAGAGAGAGAGAGAATCAATAGATAGATAGAATTAAGAAATATAATTTAATTAGCAAAATTGTCAAGACCCAGAAGCCTCAAAAACGCCAAACACAATATAAAAGGTTCAAACACGGGTTTATTAAACACAAAAAAGGCTTAGAGACACTTGCTTCAGTGTCTCTAGCACAAACTGAAAGTCTATAGCAACCGCTAAGTAAAAAACCCAATTTAAATATAATCCGGATTATCCCGAAGTATAATCTGGGATAACAAAAATATACAGCAATCTGCTTGTAATTCAAAAGGTCCAAAAGGCACAGAAAAACAAGGTGGGAGCAAGCAAAATCAGAGTCCAAAAACAGTCCATAGTCCAAAAACAGTCCATAGTCCAGGCATGTCCAAGGTAAGAAGAAGCAGTCCAAAAAAACGTAGTCATTGTCAAAACACGGTCCGGAATCAAAAGGGAGAGTTGAAGTCAGCACTTACGGAGTATCAACCAGAAGTCACGGAAACACAAAGATCTGTAGTCCAAGGACCCAAGCTTGAGAGTAATGGCAGTAACAAAGATTCACACCCGAAAAGACACTTTGCCTTCTGCAAAGACCCATTGAAACCAAACCAACGTATATCCTATAACTCCTCATCAGAGGATGAACTGCTCCCCACCCTTTCATCATCACTTTCAGCTGCCCCATTCCCTGCAGCCGAGCACTGCCTTCCATCTCTCCTCTTTGCCAGCGTCTGTCAAGACTTAGGTCCTCCCAAGTGTTCCCAAATTGCCACTCTTCTGCAAACCCCTCAAAGTCATCACTGGAGGAAGGCTGAGTACAGATGTCCCTAATTTCCTGTACACAGGTCCAGTCTAGATCATCCTCCTCCTCAATGTCACTCCCAGTCCCATCACTCCTTTAAAAACCCATAAAATCTTCATCTTCTTTTGGAGCACTAAGTATATCACGGATACGCTTCCTTTGGATCTCCTCATCAGATTCTTGTTCACGAGTAGCCCGCTTAACTCCCCTGCTTTCCTCTCCTTCCCCCATTTCACAGTCTGAGAAACCCTCGTAGGATTCGGAATCAGTTGGAGCCATGAATATGTCTCTAATCTCCTTTCACTGCTGCTCCTCCTCCAACACCTGCGCAGTCCTCTTCTCCCTTCTACCGGTAGTAGTAACGTTACTATCACGCTGTACTACAACAAAAATAATTGAGCTTCAGCTTTCTTGAGTTGTTAAAATAATAGTGAGTTGCAGCCAAGGTTGCATATATAAAATAGAGAGTATATATATATATAGTCCCACAGTCTTAGATAGATGATGATGCAATGTATTACCCTCTAGGTTGAGACCATGTGTGACTAAGGGCCTCATCAGACACAGTCTTCTCTGCATCTTCTCTTCATTTTCAAGCACAGGCAAAATAGAGTCCCACAGGGGCCATCGTATGATGCATGGCTACTTCCGGTGGCTGCCCAAGGAAATTCGTGTTGCCAGCACCTGAAAACAGAGAAAAGCATTTGTTTTCAGGAATTGGTGCTACCCAATTTCTAACTGAAGAAAATGGGGAGGAAGTCTGGAAAGTTGGGAAACCATGAGAAATGACAGGAAACAACATGGGATGGCCTGGCATCCAAGAAGACAGGGAAAGATGGTAGGAAATGAAATAAGATGGTGCCCTCTGCTTTCCCTCACTTTTCTCCTGTCCATCTTATGAAGTCCTTAGATATTAAATCTGTGGATTCAGAAATTTTCAATTATATCCAAAGTACCTGAAAGTGGTGGCACCATAGTTCAGAACACAGACAACTGTTTCCCAGTTAAAATGTTTAACAACTGGAACTCAGAGGTGCTGTTTGTTTAAATACCTGTATCTTATTACATGCTACTAAATCAACTTCAATATATGGTGGCCCAACAAATGAGGAACACCCCCGTCCCTCAAAGACCTTATCATAAAGAACACAGGTTAGGCCTTACAAAATCAGGACTTGGTTTCCTTCATTGAGTCAATCCATCTGTAATGTAGATTGTGTCAATACATCTTTCCTTTATTCAGTCCTATTGCCCTTCATTTTTCTCAATTTTGTCTTTTCTGTTGAATCATGTTTTACATATCTAGTTAATATCACTTGATATGATGCTGCACTTTAGCAGAAAATTGGGGCATGTTGTTTTTAGTGCTGTATTTAATAGTTACATATGATATGCAATGAAGGCTTAAGCAGGAATTATGACTGAGGAGTTTGTATGTTTGGAAGAAATCAAATGGCTTAAAAATGATTTGGAATGACTAACGATATGGATGAGAATAAGCATTGAGGATCCTTTCCAAATCAGACCCCATCTACACTGTCATATAATCCAGACAATAATAATAATAAATAATAAAACTTTATTTGTACCCCGCTACCATCTCCCCAAGGGACTCGGTGCGGCTTACATGAGGCCGAGCCCACAATACATCAGCAAAAAACAACAACAGTAATACAAACAATAAAATAAAACTCATAAACAAAAATAGGCAGTAAACATCAACAATAACACAATAACATTTAAAAACCTATGGCTGGGCCAACTGTAATAATTAATATAATGTTCTACAATAGATATGGTCATTAAAGGTGACAGTCCTGCTGCTATGTCCGTTTATGTTCATTTATGAGTCCCCTTCAGGGGAGATAAAGTGGGGTTATTATTATTATTATTATTATTATTATTATTATTATTTATTAGAAAGTCCCTAATTTAATGTTGTATGCTTCCTATGTTTTGAGGGGAATGAGGGTGAATCTGCACTGTAGGATTACTGCAGTTTTAACTCTTGATTTGCCATGACTCCGTGCTATGGAATCCTGGGAGTTGTAGTTTTGTGGGACAACAGCATACTTTTGCATAAAAGGTTAAAGACATTGTAAAACTTCACCTCCCATGATTCCATAGCATTGAGCCATGGCACTTAAATGGAACTGCAATCATGCTATGGTATAGATGTGTCATATGTTATTTTAGGAAGGTAAGCACTGCCACTCCATAAATAATCTGCAAAATTCCCAGAGTCTCAGTTGCAAGGTTTATATGCAAGGAAAATCTTTAAAATGTGGAGATAGTGAATGTTTTCTCTTTCCTCTGGTTCACTGAAAAGAAATGTGCAAGTATGGTGGCTTACCATCCAAATTCATCCTGAAAGTATATTCCTCAAGTCCCCCTTACTTATCCTGCCCACTGGCTTCTCACACCATTTGGCTGCTTCCCAATCAGGAGAGCAACTAGGCAGAAAGTTGCAGGTTAAGTGAAGCTTCAATTTTTCTATTAACCTTGCAGTTTTCTTTATATTGGCAATTATAATGATCAAGATACGAATTGGGGCTTTGCAATCATCATCAAAGTTTTCTGAATGTGAATGGATTTAAAGTAGCAGTATTAATTTTAAAATAACCTAAAGCACCAGCTTCTGTCTAATCTTGGAAACTAAGGAAGGTCAGCCCTAGTAGTTAGTACTTGGATTTGAGATTGCCAATCAATACCAGGTGCAGTAGGCTGTATTTTGGAAGAAGGAACTGGCAAAACCACCTCTGAGTATTCCTTGTCTAAGAAAATCCTGTGATTCCTGAGATCACCATAAGTCGATAGGTGACTTAAAGGCACATACATACATGTACACACCAGTAATTAGATGTCATCATTAGAATAGACTTCTTAGAAGTGGTGGCAGAGCAATGGTATATGCAACATTGTGTGTTTGCAGCATAATTTTAGATATCCGACTGGGATTAATCTATCCATTGGAATAGATATATTAGCTACATTAGTAATTTTGTTGATTTATATACCCTCCCCCATAATTAATTATGCAAAGCATATCTTAATGTTTTCAGCAAATCTTAAGTGAGGAATCACCTATCAGCGAGAAAAAATGTTTTCCAGTATTAGCTGATAAAATGCTTTCTTATCTTCAGCAGACTGTGTGTTCAGTAGACATTTTAAGTGCTCTTATTAAAGTTAAGGATTTATGCCCTGAGTCCTAACCTCCAATCAGCATTTGGACATAACTCTTGTTGACATTAGTAGTAGCTCAAAAGTGTGGAAGACAGGAGAATGAGTGGCTTTTTCCAAGTACTAAAAGTGAAAGTTTCACTTCCCTCTAAACATTTGAGATTTCCTTCTTTGAGGTAAGTATCATATTTGTCTAAGTTTTCCGAATTGCTTTTTGGAACTCTAAATCAATCCTGAGAGAGAGCACAGATATAGCTAATTCCACTTTCCTGGAAAAGAGCATGCCTGAGTGTTCCAAATGTCAATCTTATTATTTGGAGGGTTATGAACTGAAGAACTCTCCCTCACATTGCCTCTCAGCAGAACTGATATGGTATGGTATAACATGAACAGCATTTGTCATCTGCAGATGGAAAATCAAAGTGAGGGGGAGTCCTTACTTAATGCAGTCTAAAGAATTAAGCCTGCAATACTGAACACAGTTAATAGAGAAAGCACTCCACAAAACACATTAAGGCACATTTGGAGTAAGCAAACAAGAGATTCTACTAATATGTGTAACTATTTCAAGTAGTTAAATTATGTTTTCAGCTGCAATCATAAATGCCCTCCTAAGTATACTTTACTAAGCAACAATCACACCAAAGATACAGAGGTCTATTAAACTAGTGACTGGGTGGGATGGGCTATCCAGTCCAACCCCCTACCATGCAGAAAAACACAAAGTACTCTTGGCATATGGCCCACGGAAGGAGACAGCATATTCTACCATTGAATGTCTCTTACCATATAGCAGTTTTTTCCTGTAATATGAATTCATGGCTGCCAAGAAGCAGGAAAATCACATTCAAAGCACCCCGACAGATGGCCATCCAGCCTCTGTTTAAAAGACTCCAAAGAAGGAGCCTTCACCACACAAACTCCCAAATCTTCTATTCATGTTGCTTGGTTTCCAGGCCTTAAATCCATTTTGGTTGCCCTTCTCTGGATCCACTTCAGCTTGTAGAGATCCTTCTTAAATTGTGATGCCCAGAACAGGACACAATATTTCAGATGAAGTCTGGCCAAAGCAGATTAGAGTATTTCTTATATCTATTGATGCAACATTGACCTTTTTTAGCTGCTGCATCACATAGCTGTCATGGCCTTTCCCAGTGACAATGGGTGACAGTGAGGGTATTCAGTGGGCAGCTTGGTGAATCTGTGAAGCAGCCAGGAAAAACCATCACCCCATGACCCACGTTCCCTCCATCACTACTTTCCCCTCCCGAGTTCTCTGGGTTCTGTCCTAGAATGCTTCCTGGACAGAGCCCCAACCAAAGTAGCCCTGCATCATGTGATGGGCTCCATCAGACTTCATCCTGGCTCCGTCTGGGAAGAGTCCTAGGACGGAGCCAGAAGTTAATGTGATGGGTTTCTAGATCTTCATCTCTCTACACAACTGCTGCCTGGTAACATATGTTTGAGGGGAGTCATACCAAGAGTAACTACTTTGTTATGCATGCATAAAGTAGATGATGAAATCACACACTATTTAAGTGTTCAGCTAATGAACACATGCAAAGATAGAATGGCTGGCTATACTGTACCACTTTGGCATTGTATGTGTAAACAAAAGCAGATATTAATTGCTAACATCAGTTACGAGCTGCTAGAATGGGAAGGAGTAACATAATTTCCAGTCAGGTAAGTTTGTATTTTCTTAATGGAAAATAAATTATACAACAAATAAATTATACAGAATGTAAAACAGAGGGTTTTGTGGGAGGGGGGTGAAAAAGGAAAGGAAAAAAGAATGATTGGGAAAGTTCCATGGCAAGCTCCTGTTGGAACTTGGCTTGTGCACAGTGAAAATATGCTACAGATGTATAGATTATAAAGACTTGGACAGTATTGGTCAAAACCTTCCATGGTAGAGTCATGTGGGAAAGAGAGTCTAGACATCATAGATTAACTTATTTCTTTTAAACATGTGCAATCTAGACATGGCTTAATGAAACAAAATCAGCAAAGCTTTTCTGTGTGTATGACCAGTTTTCCATATGTAAGTGCACCAGTCAGGCTTCTAGAAAAGGTCAGAGGGTCTTTATGTTTTTTATATTAATGACATAAAAACATGATGTGAAAGTAGTCATTTAGTAGATCATAAATCTTTTATTTCAGTCTTCACCAACTTGGTACCCTCCAGATAATCCCCTGTCAGATACCATGGAGTGCTAAAAAAAAAAATTACAAGGCAATAGGAAAAGAGAAAGACTCAAGGCCTCATCACAAAGACCCATGGATTCACCATGCATCATGGCAAATCCACGGGCTCCTGGCGGGGTGGGGAGCCAGGAGAACCCACACATGGGCAGCTTGTCTTGGCTCCTATTCCATGGAGCTCTCACGTTTCTTCATGGAGCCCAGTTGGAAGTACACATGCATCTTATAATGGGCTCTGTCCTAAAAGGGGAGAACAAGCACATGACAGGTCAAGTAGCCCATCTGATGAGGTCCTCAGT